TGACTGTCACGTGATCATCTCTCCTAGACATGAACTGATAACGTGTTAACACAGAATCTTGAATATGTCCAAAATCCATTCAGCACTGTGTTATTGTATTATATGAAGGAATGTCCAGCAGTCCGAACTTGACCAAACGGAAGGTAACAAGGTTCATATGACTACAGAACACTGGATGAGTGAGTGAGTTTAGTTTTACGCCGCTTTTAGCAATATTCCAGCAATATCACGGCGGGGGACACCAGAAATGGGCTTCACACATTGTACCCATGTGGGGAATCGAACCCGGGTCTTCGGCGTGACGAGCGAACGCTTTAACCACTAGGCTACCCCACCGCCGCTAACGCTGGATGACATGTATTGTTCTCACTATTGTCCCAGTGAACAATCATGGGCATTTGCCACGAACGGGCTGAGACCGATATACCACAATAAAAATATAATACAACATATAGAGGATATAATATGAGTGCCCATGTCATACTATGGTTACGACACGAGTGCCTAAATGAAGGATATACGGATAATTAGGCACGAGTGTCGTAAACATAGTATGATATGGACACGAATATAATATTCTATTTATTACATAAGTCGTCAAATTGAGGAAAATAAACCCAAATCTACCTTCAAACATAGGCTAGCTACCTGACAGCATTGTTCATGGCGTCACGTCACCATGACAAAGTGATATTTTGCCCTAGGGCATCTATTAAAAAAATATGAACCCAAATATTTTCGCCCTCGTAGGTAATAAAATAAAATATAATATAATCCTATCATAGAGCTTATTGAGTGTTATTATGAAAAGGCATATGACTAAGAAAGCCCGAATAAAAATAGTAAACTTTCGCATGAAAAATATGTGTGTAAGCACTTTTCGTTGGTTTTGGCAGTATTCCAGCAGTGTGGGACATGGTAATCACGTATTGTATCCACGCCATTCCAATACGGGACTTTGGCATGACAAGGGAACACTTTAACCTCCAGGGTTCACCGTTACCCATGCAATGCATGAAGCCTCCCTTTCCAGATTATTAACTCACGGAATATTTGTTAACTGTACGGTAAGGTTGACCTTCATGGCGGGTTCTACCAATAGTGCAAGTAAGTACATGTGTCAAGAAAATATAGCGACGTCATATAATCAATAAACTGACGTTGGTCTTAACGTTGGTCTATATTCACCCGCCTTGCGAACGTCTGGTTTCACCTTTGTCCCTTTAAAACTCCACAGTTAGTATTTGTATTAATTGGAGCCTGAAGTTCATATTCACTGCGAGAACAGTATGGAATCCTAGAAGGGACATTGTCGCTATGTTGTATTTTCGAGTTGTCGCCCTTACAAAATAAGCAAAAAAGTGGCAAAATTAACCAATGTGCGACAACGCGATATTTGGGGCATTTGTCGCATTGTCGCGTTCTGTCACCTTTTTTTTTTATCCAAACGGCGACAATGCGACAATTTTCAAGGTCAAAATATGTCGCGTTGGCACATTATCGCCCCATCAAAATGTGGTAAAAAAAAAGCCTTTAAATGCGCGACAATGCCACATAATGAATATGCATAGGCGCCTATGTGAATATGTTGCATGGTCGCATTGTGGCGCTTTTGTTTATTTGCCACTGTTTGCTTGTTTTTGTGAGGGGGCGGTGGGGTAGCCTAGTGGTTAAAGCGTTCGCTCGTCACGCCGAAGACCCGGGTTCGATTCCCCACATGGGAACAATTTGTGAAGCCTATTTCTGGTGTCCCCCGCCGTGATGTAGCTGGAATATTGCTAAAAACGGAGTAAAACCATACTCAGTCAGTTTTTGTGAGGTCGACAATGCGACAACGTGACAATGTCCCTTCAAGGATTCCATAGAACAGAGATATGCAATCACCTACCACATGTTTATACATATAGGGCATGGATGAATATATCCGAGGAATGATCAGATAAACGTACGATATTGCTACATCTACTGAAACTAATGTACCGTTAAACTTATTGCATGTATGACTGAACACACCAAGAAAATAATTGACTATCGTTACGCTGTTATAGCTAATTACATGAAACATGTTTGACTACATCTATGCATGGTTAAATATACATTTGTGCATAAAATAAGCACCACCCTGTATTTTTACCAATTAATATTGCCTGAAATGATATTCTAAACTCTTTCCCCAAAATAACCTTTATAATTTGATAGAGCAAGCATTTAACATTTCAAAATCGAAAACATCATTGAAATTACCATGTACTTCAATTAGGATAATTGCCTATATTTAAAACAGGTGTTTTTCTGTCCTTAAACAAGTTGCCTTATTTTGAAAAGTCAAAGTGATACTTGATTGTTGTGTGGCCTATGAATTCATTACTTATTGTGAATGGATGAAAGTTTGTAAACTAAGATTGAGGAAAAATTACAGTCAAACTACAAGAAAAGGAAAATTTTAAAATGCAGTAAAAGTTGCTTTACAAACATAACAAACAGATTTTAACTGTCATTATCAGTATCCAGCAAGGAGAAGTGTTTATTCATAAAAATAAACTCAAAATCATAAAAACATTATTCCAAAATCTTATTAATGTGGCCTTTTTTCAGTTTTTGTCAATTAGCAATCTGAATTGTTGGAAAAAGGTCTTGAATCTTTGACATTCGGGTTGTTCCTGATTATGCATAATTAAAGCTTACTTGATGTGTTAATGTCATCTTGGTATATAACAGAATTGGGTTTTTTTAGTCAAAACTTAATTTAATTGTGTAGTTTGAGCAGGAGAAGAATGGTTATTTTGGGCAAAAATTCAGTCCCATCACATTTTTATCAACATATTCTGTCATAAAGAATAGAAAAGTTTGTGGTATTTGTAAAACTGTCAGTGGATAAAACTTCTTTAACCATAGGTTGATTAAATTGATGGCTATACCCTAATTTTTCTGTAGCATCACATCTTATTTTCAAAATAGGGTGGTGCTTAATTAATGCACGGGTGTATACATTACATGTGTGATTGGATATACTCAGGCCATAACCTGTTTTGGCTTATTTTTATCCAATTGGATGGTTGATCAAATCTAATGCATGAACAACTTGCAATACACAATTCAGATGGCTTCAATATAAAATTGTCCAAAGACTGACTGACTGACTGAGTTTGGTTTTACGCCGCTTTTAGCTATATTCCAGCAACATCACGGCGGGGGACACCAGAAATGGGCTTCACACATTGTACCCGTGTGGGGATTCGAACCCGGGTCTTCGGCGTGACGAGCCAACGCTTTAACCGTTAGGCTACCCCACCGCCCCAATTGTCCAAAGAATCATTACAACAAACAAAGATTTATTTAACTATAAACTGACACAATCTGTACATTTTGTAATGTTACAATCGAATCAATTATCCACATATTTTGTGAGTGTGTACATGTGAAAACGTTGTGGCAACAGCTGAAAGCCTGGACTGAACAAGATACAGGCACAGTTTAAAATTCTGGATGCAAACATATCATCTTTGGATATAAAGAAAAACGAAATGATGTATTAAACCTGATTATCATCGCAACAAAATACTATATATATGCATCTGCAGTTTGTTGGATTAAAGAATTACCTACACACCCTGTATGAAATTGACAAATGTACTGCCTTTTCGCACTGCAACTATGGTAAATTCTTCACCTTTGGTCATCTTGCCATAACCTCTTCACATAAATTACAATATCAATGTATTCTTCTAGCCTACGGATTATCTACCACTCGTGTTCATACTTTGTATATTTATGTACCACAAATGCAACAATTATGTACCCATCAAAAAGAAATAAAGCGATAAAAAAATAAATCTAATGCATGACTGACAACCATGACACAAGTGGTTATTTTGTTGATCCTTGAAAAATGCAAACGCACAAAATGACTGGGTTAAGGATAAAGTCATCAGGTGAGGTGAGGTGAAATTGGGTTTTACGTCGTATTTGAGAATATTTCGCTCATATGACGACGTGCATGCGTGTGTATGTGTATGTGCGGCTGCTTGTACTAGCCCAGACTTAAAGCTGGTTTTATAGTGCTAGCCCACTGATATACCATGCCGCAGTGAAGCATGAATACCCCACTCAGACACATTATACTGACTCCGAGCCGACCAGTCCTTGATGTACCCATTAATGCCGAGCGCCAGACAGGGACCAACAAGTACCATATTTTAACGTCTTTTGGTATGACGCGTTCGGGGATCGAAACCACGACCTTCCGCTCTCCGGGCGGACGCTCTAACCACTACACCACGGAGGCGGTCGATAAAGTCATCAGAAACATGTGTTCAAATTCATATTTTAATCGCGAAAACAGTTTCGGCGCATATGACGTCACGTCACGTGACGTCATGTCTACTCAACAACTGTCGGGTGTTTCCGTAATAGGCGGAATTAAGAGTGCATTTTGAACGTGTTTATTGCGATTTTACAAACGCCTTGTTCAATTTTAATCATAGAAGATGACGTTTAGAATGCTTTTACCCCTATAAAAAGCTAACTCTACGTTAGTATTCTCCTGTAATGCTACACTCAGCAATATTACAGCTTCATGACTGTCGTCTGTAAATAACCTAGTCTTGATAATGACGTCATGACCATCGATCTAAACTCCGAGAGCCTGACCACTAGAATACTTCTTAGATATGATTGAAAACACCAAAAGCACATGCCAGTGCCAACGGTTGCCATGGTAAGCCATCATGGAAGCCATTCCTTAGTTCCGTCTCGTTTTACAGCACGAAGCACTGATACTGTATTCCAGAAACTCACAAATATACTTTTTAACAGATGGAAAATGAAAACAAAATTCAGAGCACTACTGGGACAATGTATTTGATGGTAAGCACGCCAAGCTAAACAAATAAATATATTCAGCACACATAACAAAATGATTTGAATGACAAAGCGATGATTTTGCAATGCAATGAAAGTCAAAGGTAGTGCAAGGATAAAGGAAATTTCTAGAGCTTTACATTTTCCTTATCTTGTCCTTTCTCCTTCTCCAGCTCGTCTTCTTCATCCTTCATCAGCACATCAGATCGTGGTGCGTCCGTCTGTCGCGCCTTCAACTTGGACGTCAGACTGGCATGGGCTAGCCTGATAGAAAGGGTCAAGCACACCAAGCCCGTGATCCCGGCTGGAAAGTCAAAGGTGGCATATGTTCAGATAATTGAAAACAAGGATATTTTTAATGGCTGGAGTGAGTCAATTTAGTCTTAGCAATTTCACGGCGGGGGACGCCAGAAATGGGCTTCATTGTACATTGAGGGGAAAAACGGGTCTTCGGCGTGACGAGCGAACGCTTTAACCATTTGGCTAGCCTGGATAAATTGCATAGCCATTTCGTCAGCCCCAATAGTTGTATTAATGATGACGGTGCATACGACTGTTCACGATTTCAGGGCATGAAAATGATTAAGTGAGCTTAGTTTTACGCCGCTTTTAGCAATATTTCAGCAATATCAGTTCGGGGAACACCAGAAATAATCTTCACACATTGTAACCATGTGGGGAATCGAACCCGAGTCTTCGGCGTGACGAGCCAACGCTTTAACTCTAGGCCACCCCCTCTCCTGATAATGAGAGTTCTACTTGTACTTACATATGGTGCAGACCCCTGATACTGAAGACTGGGCCAAACACAAGAAGGCGATGCCCATTGATTCCAACTTCTCCTTCAACTTCCCCTCCATGACAGCCGCTGTGGTGGAACACGGGATGTCATCGCTCTTCTTGAACTCCCTGTTAGGGATGAACAGAAAACGACGTTTCTCGTCAGAACTGATCATACTTCGTGTTCAACTATGTGTTTAGCAACTCCTTTGCAGTTCAACACGTTTGTCAAACGTTTAAAGTCCCTTTCAACAGTGTTTTATGAATTAAATATGCATCAAGTCATAAATATTTCAACCGAATCGGGAGGAGATTTATGTAAGTTTTAAAGAAACATGTGACTGCCTGACCAACAGCGGCATTTAGTAAACGTCTTCGTCAGAGACTGACTAGTGTCGATTATATCCTGAAACAGATTCCATGGGCGAAAAGGCAATGTACAAAAATCATACGAAAAGCTACACCAATGCAACACTGAAAATCAGTGATGAGACAAGATGTACACGAAACTGTCAACATGCCCTGGCTTTGTGTGTGTGTGTGTGCGTGTGCGTGCGTGTGTGCGAGCCTGCGTGTTGTGGGGCTGGGTGGTGTGGTGAGGGTATAACCGTCGCTTTAAACGTTGCGGTACGCCGTCGAACCTGTTGACGACGTTGTGGGATGTTCATCATGCTATCGACCACCGGTTTTCTAGTCAAGGCGCTGATATTTACTGGGCGCTATGGTATGTCGGGAGCATTGCAGTATGCGGCCTAAAACAGCAACCGGAAGTTACCTCAGATAGTATGCCCGGAAGTAGTCTTGCACGCGCACCACACCCAGGATGAACTCGTATGCCATGATGATGACACACGGCACGAGATACAGCACCATCTGCATCCACGTCATTCCAGAGAAATCTGTCACCATGGTGATGGACCATAGTGCCAGAACGTTTACAATCTGCGGGTACAATATATGAATATTTTTATAATCTTTAGTTGAATAAGAGTGATCGAAGGATATTTTTGTCACGGTCACCAAACTTTCATTCACCTGTGTTGCAGGGTATGGAAACTCCCAAAATTTCAGACAAGAATGGATTGATTGATTGATTGATTGATTGATTGCTAGATTGCTTGACTGTTTGGTGGGTTGGTTGGTTGGTTTTCAACTTTCTAATTTGGTTGCAGCAAACAGTTTGCTTTTTGATGATAAAACGGGTAATGCCTCATTTGGATTTTCACGCATTCCTATGAATTATAACCTATGCAAATGACACCCAAACACAGTTTAACAGATCTAATATAGTCAGATTAAATTCTGACATTCCGAAATTACAGATGAAGCAAGGCAGTTGTGAAAGAGGATTACCTTTTGTATAATTATGATATTATCTTTGATAAGTAATACATATGTATCGCTAACACTAACAGATATGTCTACATATCGACAATGATGTAATCCATGACGTACATAATGTATAGGTCCGTCTCCTATTCTCGCGGGTTTCCTATTCTCGCGGTAAACACGTTTTCTGCCGAAATCGCCGATGCGCGACACTTAGCGGTTGTTTACATCACCGACTGGTAACTAGGAAGTGGACCAAGTCTGTGAGTGATCAAAATCTTGCAGTGTCACGAATATTGGGGAGTTTATACCAACTTGGACATATCATTACTTTTTCCCGCCCTTTCAGGCAGGATTGCTCTTACATACACTCAATAACGTTAATTCCTGGTAATACCGCGAGAATGGGAGAAGCCTCGTTTCGTCAATGGCGGATGGCATTGTTTATCACCAGGCTCACGAGTGGTAATTCACCTGATGGATCTGGCAGCTGATAGATGCAGATGTTAGAGGAGAAGACCCTTCATTTAAAAACAACAAGCATGAATACGATAAGAATTGTTTGTGTTATTTATTCAGCCGATATCCGTAAGTACCGCGAGAATAGGAAACGCCTTCCTAATACCCCCAGTGACCTCCATTGTTATCAGAGCCTGTTAACTGATATGTATAATATTGAGTGGGTTTGAGGTTTGCACGGATAAGAACAATGCACTTGTGTCCGACATAGTAATAATATACACTGCATAAGTAGATACTGACATGTCCTTCAATCTGATTATCATATCGGAATTATAACATATCATAAGTGAATTTGGAAACAGCATTTCAGTTATATCGAGGTATCTGGCTAGGTTTGTCATCATGCTTCAAATGCTGATATATGTTATGATTAATTTGGGTTAACGTTTTTCCTTCAATTTCTACCTCATTTCACTGATGACGTCATACAAAGCTTTGAGTGAGTGAGTATGGTTTTACGCCGCTTTTAGCAATAATCCAGCAATATTACGGCGGGGACACACCAGAAATGGGCTTCACATATTGTACCCATGTGGGGAATCGAACCCGAGTCTTCGGCGTGACGAGCCAACGCTTTATCACTTGGCTACCCCACCGCCCTTAAAAAGCTTTGACGTCAGGCGAGATTGTAATGCAGTGACGCCATCTTTTAAAATACACTCAATTAAGCTTTCTGACGATTTCGTGACGTGGGAATTAATTCAATTTGACATCTAATGCCGTATCATTGATAAATATTAGTCTCTTTTGAATCGCGTCGAAGCTGAACCTCAGTCAGTGTGTGTGAAATAGTTTCCAAATTTTGCTAGCCAGTAGGGCTAGCTGTGCCTGAAAGTTACTAGTCCACAAAATAATTCACTAGCCCGAAATTTGAATGTAGAAACTAAGCAGAAGATTAAAAGGTAAAATACCATCAGAAACAAATAAGAAAACACGTGTCTGAATGTCTGAAATATTTTGTTTATGCTCAAATAACTTGAATATGTCATCATGAAGCTGCTAATATGATGAACATTTTTATCAGGCCATAATCTTGCATGATTTAAATGTGTGTTATAACTTAACAAGTCGGAGAGAGTGATATATTTACAAAATGACCCCATGAAAATTCATTATAGTCTGTTTGCAATGAAAACGTACCGATGAATTTCACTTTGAACAAAAAAGTAAATCAAATAAAGTGAAATTAAGATTGCGAATCCTCATCATTTTACCTTGTCAATTAACATTTAAGTTTCAGAATTTTATTCAACTTAGGATAAAAGTTTTTTTAACAGACGGTCATAGATTCAAATCGCTATTATTGGTTTGTATTACAAGAGGGTAAGCGCAGTAATTGGAACAGTGATACAAATGCACGTGCAGTACGTGATGAGCGTTAACTTAGACCAACCCTACTTGTTATCGGTGTTTCATTTAATGTACGTACCCCTTGTAATACAAACCAATAATAGCGATTTGAAACTATGATCGTTTGTTAAACAACTTTTATCCTAAGTTGAATAAAATTCTGAGATTTCAATGTTCACTTGGCAAGGTAAAATAATGAGGATTCGCACTTCTAATTTCACTTTATTTGACTTACGTTTTTGTTTAAAGTGAAATTCATCGGTTCGTTTTCACTGCAAACAGACTATAGCCAGTCGGGCCCATGACTGCGGAGATTTACTGGCCCGACTGGACTTTTACTAGCCACGGGCTAGCGAGCCAGTGGCTATTTCGCACACTGATCATGACCTCAGGTCATGCACGGTATGTGAGCACGAAGATGTTTGTGATTGACGCTATCATTAATGATCCGATGTATAGATGTCTGATACAACGATAACTTTTTTCATCTGAAGCAATCTCATTTAGCTAACCTTGTCACAGAAAGCGTCCATGAAGCCTCCCAGTAGAGGGTCATCCACCTGTCCCAGTGTCCTTTTCTGGACTTTGGCCACAATGCCGTCCAGATGGTCAAGGAAGTCGTGGAGAAGGACCAGCAGAAACGCTGTCCAGCAGCAGTCATACCTGAACCATAAACATGGTTTAGACATGTTCTGTTTGTTTGTTTGTTTGTTTGTTAAACGCCGCAATATTTCGGCTATATGGCGGCGGTCTGTACTTAATCGAGTCTGGACTAGGCAGTCCAGTGACCAACAGCATGAAAGCATCTATGCAGTAGGGAACCGATGACATGTGTCAACCAAGTCAGCGAGCCTGCCCACCCGATCCCGTTAGTCGCCTTTTACGACAAGCATGGGTTGCTGAAGACCAATTCTAACCCTGATCTTCACGGGTGAAATCGCCAAGGGGCACGAATGGAATTCGACTTGGCCCGGAATGCCACGATACCCTGCATACCAATCATGACGCTGGGTGTCATAAAGATGGTATTTCAAATATGGTTTTAGAGAAGATTCAGTTGCTTGCTTACTTAAGACAGGCGGCGATGGGGATGACTAGAAAGGTTCTTGCCCATGACACGATGTTAGCTGAGAAGACAACGTAATCTTGACCTTTGACCTGCACGGACCGTGGTACACGTTCCACTGCGGGTGACAGCGTAGTTTGGAGGGGAGTGTAGACGTAGGTGTCGTACCTTTCCACCTACATAGAATCAACACTCAGTTAACTGAACTCGTTGGTCCCATCAACATTCATGTATTCATTTATTTTTACAACTGAATCTTTGACGCTGCTTTGATGATTTAGTAGTAGTACTGGTGGTGGTAGTGGTAGTAGTAGTGAGTGAGTGAGTGTGTTTTACGCCGCTTTTAGCAATATTCCAGCAATACCACGGCTGGTGCCACCAGAAATGGACTTCACACCATAGGGCGTGTCTCGCTTAGAAACAGCGTTAGAAAGACATATACTCAGGTGGGGAATCGAACCCGAGTCTCCGGTGTGACGAGAGCGAACGCTTTAACCACTAGGTTAACCCACCGGTATTAGTAATAGTAGTAGTAGTAGTAGTAGTAGTAGTAGTAGTAGTAGTAGTAGTAGTTTGTTGTTTAACGCCGCACTCAGCAATATTCCAGCTATATGGCGGCGGTCTGTATATAGTTAAGTTTGGACCCAACAATAAAGTGATCAACAGCATTAGCATCGATCTACACAACTGACCACACGAGTAGTTGTAGTAGTAGTAGTAGTAGTAGTAGTACGTGTTAACTGTGCTTATAATATACAGATATACAGAAAGTGATCAGTACGTCCAACCATTAATTGAACGAAACACCAATTCAAATTTAATTCGAAATACGTTGAAACATTGTTTGTCGTCTTTTAAACATTTTATTAAGTGTTGAAATGAATTGAAGTTGAAAGATGAAAAATGCTTTACAATAGTGATCTTTAAAAAGAGATCACACAGTTCATATAGTGTATCCTAATTAATATGTTGTCGAAGGTGAGTGTAATATATAGAAACAGTAAAATCAATTCTGTTTTACATACCAAGATGAAGAGAAATCTCTCAATGAAGTGCGTGACGACCTCAAGCGGCGACAGTATTGCTCTGGATAGCCCCATTATTAGCTGCAACCTGGAATAGAGGGGGTAGGATTGAGATGACACAACAACAATCAACCTCAGTGTATACAAGTAGTGTTAGTGTACTGAAGACACTGGTGAATTGTTTGTTTGTTGTTTTACGCCGCACTCTGCAACATTCCTGCCATAATGCAGCGGTCTGTAAATAATCGAGTCTGGACCAGACACTCCAGTGATCAACAGCATGAGCATCGATCAACGCATTTGGGATACGATGGCATGTGTCAACCAAGTCAGTGAGCCTGACCACAAGATCCGTTAGTCGCCTCTTACGACAAGCATGGGTTGCTGAAGATCAATTCTAACCCGGATCTTCACGGGTCTGGTGGAATGAGTATCACTGTGTTACTGCAATGGCTGATACTGCTGGAATCTCTATTGTCACGGTTACTGCAACACAGGGTCTAATGTTACTGCGTCTGTTGTTTCACCCAGCACAACCCATCTGCCCCCGCAAACAGATCCAGTGTTTGGGGAGGTTTGCAGTGGACTTCACGCCCTGTATTTGCAATATACACCACAGTGTTAATCAGGTGAAAGTTTCTGATGTAATAGTTTATACTAGTTAAACGTATTACAACACAATAACTAACTCACTTAGGTGATATATACGCATCACCAAAAAATTAAAGAACACATACAATTGGAAGGTTGTTTGTTAAAGTACTCCTCCATGACAAATTAACTAGTTATTTGATAAAAATCGTGTGCTCTTTCCTTTGTAGAGTAATGAGTGAGTTTAATTTTACGCCGCTTTTAGCAATATTCCAACAATATCAGGGCGGGGCACCAGTAACGGGCTTCACACATTGTACCCATGTGGGGAATCGAACCCGGGTCATCGGCGTGATGAGCGAATGCTTTAACCGCTACGTTACCCTACCGCCCCCGTTTCTAGAGTGGTATGTATGTACCAAAAGTAACACGAATAAATAACGTGCTTGGAAGTAAGTTTGTGATCTCAAAATGAAATCCATGTTTTCAAATGAATTGAATCCCATCTTGTATAACTGACGCTGTAACAGTTACGACTGTTGTCGTTGCTACCGATGCTGCTGCAACAACAACAACACCTGCTTCATCAGCGACAAACATCCACACCAGCGTCTACACCGTCAGTTACCACATACCACTGACAGTGGCCAAAACAGACGCTCACAAAAACATCATTGTTTTCATTAAACAACACTACTTTCACAACAAAGACAAAACGCACTCCTTGTTCAAAGTCAGTCAGTTATGAACCCAGTGAATGGAAACGTGAAAAACATTCAACACTATCCTTATTTACACCACGAGTACAAATATACCAACAAACCTGGTCTCTCAGTGCAAGTCCCACGTAATGACGATGCTGTTATGTCCGTGGGCTATGTTATATTAAATTATTATTATCATTGTTAAATCTGCTATGACTGGTAGTCCACAACAATGCTTCCACGCACAATGGTCGTCAACACGTGCTGTTGTAGATACACCACCATGAACCAAAACATATGTCATTCTGCCTTATCTATGTTTCACTGTCTACAGATACTACACAGATCGGACACAGTTCAGCTTATGGCAACAGACATTATCAGGAAGATTCCTTACCATGTAAACACTCATGTGTTGGAAAGGAATTGGTTTTATTTACGCGAAGGCATTGTGCTATCGAATACATTTCGGGAAAGTCGGAGATTGTCACCAGCGTTTCGATATTGTACCGTATTATCGAGTATGAATATGCAGGGTAAAATAAAGGACGGGCTATTTGAAAGTTGGGGGTTAAGATTAGGTATTTTTTATTTACATGAGTGTTTTGAGAGACCGAAATGAGTTCTTAACTCTACACCACACCAAAAACAACATCCACACTCACATCCACACCCCAATATGTACACCTACACTCACATCCACACCCCAATATGTACACCCACACCACCATCTACGCCCACACCAAACCCATTTCACTGTCTACGCCCCACCAACACCCACATCACAATCTACACACACATCTACACCAACATCGACACAACTATCTACATCAACACTCACCTCACCATCTACAACCAAATCAACATCTACACCCACATCCATGCACAACACCATCCACACCCACAAAATCGTTTACACACAAGCCTACTCCACTGTCTACACCCACTTCCACATCCACACCACCATCTGCACCCACACCACAATCCACACCCACACCACCATCGACACCCACACCACCAACTACACCCTCATCCACACCACCGTACACACCCTCATCCACACCCACACCACCATCTACACCCTCATCCACATCCATATCCACACCTACAACCCCACCCAAATCAATTTACTCACTCTATGATTTTCAAGGCACGTACAGTAATCAACTAGAGAACCGTGCAATACATTTTATACAGCCACGGTTTCGCGGATTCCGTAAATTTAATTACTCAGGCTGTTTCAGAGCATGAAAGATGCATGCAGAGTCTTTCAACAGTCCCGATATGACAGCCATGTTCAGGGGCACATCTCTAAATATCATCAGCCCTGACAATGTCAACTAGCAATGCAAAGCAAGCGAAGCACGTGAAAGACACTTTTCTCATTCAACTCTGAAATCGGTTCTGGCTGCAGTGAGGGCATGGAGATCTGTGTGTTTTCATATTGGTTTGCGAAATTGTTCAGTGGTGGTGGTGGAATTGGGTTTAACGTCGTGCTTGAGAATATTTCGCTCAAATGACGACGTGCATGCGTGTGTATGTGTATGTGCGGCTGCTTGTACTAGCCCAGACTTAAGCTGGTTTTATAGTGCTAGCCCACTGAGATACCATGCCGCAGTGAAGCATGAATACCCCACTCAGACACATTATACTGACTCAGAGCCGACCAGTCCTTGTTGTACCCATTAATGCCGAGCGCCAGGCAGGGACCAACAAGTACCATATTTTAACGTCTTTTGGTATGACGCGGCCGGGGTATTGAACCCGCGACCTTCCGCTCTCCGGGCGGACGCTCTCTCACCACTACACCAAGGCGGCGGTCCGAATTTGTTCAGTTAATCATCGACATATGATAAATATTTAACAGCACGTGTCGTAAATAGTGGATTGTGTCTCAAATATTGTGGCATGTACTTCAAGCAGGCAAATGATATTATTTCTCTGAAAGTTTGGTGATCTGAGATTGTTAAGCTGAAAACCATTGAACCAACACTGGTCTTCCGATGCTTGAAAAACCCGTGAAGATCCGGGTTAGAATTGATCTTCAGCAGCCATTCTTGTCGTAAAAGGTGACTAATGGGATCGGATGGTCAGGCTCGCTGACACATATCATCATATCCCAATATTGCGTAGATCGATGCTCATGCTGTTGATCACTGGATTGTCTGATCCAGACTATATTATTTACAGCCCGCAGTCATATAGCTGGAATATTGCTGAGTGCAGCGTTAAACAATAAACAATAGGAGACCTTGAGTGTAATCCTCTTCTTGTCGGATGATAGTGCGTTGATATCCTATGATAACATAACTCTGTGCTGCATGTAATGCATACATGTTGGCTGTTGATGTCAGGCCACTTGTGACGCAAGATCGAAAGTACGGTACGATGAAAGGGTCCTTTGTTGATTTATCGCGAAGTCGCCATGTGAGGTAACATGCCATGCAGTCATACGACGATAGTGTTGTAGTTGGAGTCAACGGTTATCTAATGATGATGATGATGATGATGATGCCTCTGTTTCCTTTGTTCAAGGACCCGTGAAGATCCGGGGTAGAATAGGTCTTCAGCAACCCATGCTTGCCACAAAAGGCGACTATGCTTGTCGTAAGAGGCGACTAACGGGATCGGGTGGTCAGGGTCGCTGACTTCTTTGACACATGTCATCGGTTCCCAATTGCGCAGATCGATGCTCATGCTGTTGATCACTGGATTGTCTGGTCCAGACTCGATTATTTACAGACCGCCGCCATATAGCTGGAATATTGCTGAGTGCGGCCTAAAACTAAACTCACTCACTCACTCACTCCTTCGTTCAAGTGAATATATTTCCGCTATGTTATTGCTAAGCCATCCGTATTATATATGTGACGACGGCTATGATAATGATGATAATGATGCATCTGTTTCCTTCGTTCAAGTGAATGTTTTTTCCGCTAGAAATTCTTAAGCCATTGGAATTATTATATACTATTTCATCTCACGCCTTATTTATCAAAGAATGTGGGGGCGAATATTATAGATAATAACAATTTTAAAATGTCATTTTTTGGTGATTTCTTAAAATTTAGACAACTTGGTAATTGTCACTGACTGACGTTACGACATACATCGAGTCGCTTTGCTTCGGAAACATTTAATTAATGTAGAGAAGAAAAATCAAGGGTACGACTATTTTTTATCAGATGAGCGCATGAATGGCCATGGGGAAAATTGAGATAAGAAAACTTTGATGACATTTCACGTCGGAATAAAAAATGAATGCGGGAGAAGATAGGGAAACAGAAAAAAAAGTACAGACAAACTTATCCGGGCAAGTCATCCGATTTTCATTCTCAGCTCCTTGAGGTGCATACAGCGTATGATGGACACGAAGGTGTTCAACTACATTACCATCTTATCCGTCTTATCATTGCTTTGTTAACGGATTTATAGTTTGAACCATGTCATCTCCGTAAGGAGACACCAGTTGTAATATTTGTTTCAGCGAGTGGTAGGACAGAGCACACACACCCATGCAAATACTCTCCGCAAGGAACGGTGTTTAACATCACCCGATGTATATCTCTGCGTGAGTGAGTGAGTTTAGTTTTACGCCGCTTTTAGCAATATTCCAGCAATATCACGGCGGGGGACACCAGATATGGATTCACACATTGTACCCATGTTGGGAATCGAACCCGAGTCTTCGGTGTGACGAGCGAACGCTTTAGCCACTAGGCTACCCCACCGCCCCCCTATGTCTCTCAGAAAATATAACCAAATAATACATTCCAGATCATAACAGCTCTGTTCTCTCAACCATATAGCTATAAACCACCCCGTCACAACCTAATAACCCTAAATACCTTAAGCATAATGATCGACTATAGTGAGTGAGTGAGTGAGTGAGTTTAGTTTTACGCCGCACTAAGCAATATGCCAGCTATATGGCGGCGGTCTGTAAATAATCGAGTCTGGACCAGACAACCCAGTGATCAACAGCATGGACATCGATCTGCGCAATTGGGAACCGATAACATGTGTCAACCAAGTCAGCCAATCTGACCATCCGATCCCGTTAGTCGCCTCTTACGACAAGCATGGGTTACTGAAGATCAATATTCTAACCCGGACCTTCACGGGTGTGATCGACTATAATCTACAAGGATCGGTAATATAAATCTTCTATGATTAAAACGTTTAGACCGCTTACCTGTCTGAGGTAATGAAGGTGATGAGATAAAGGGGTGAGTAAAGCCTGCTGCTGCTGCTGATGGCGAAACGACTCGACTGACATGAGATATATAGAGGATACTTGGCCTCCTTGTCACGTGGGTTGAAAGCATCAACATGCGCGCGCCGTACTATGGTAACACATTGTGTCCACAATAGTTTAACTTTCTGCTTGACATCATGAAGTATTGTGACAGGGTGCAAATCTAACTGATAGTATACTGATAATAGATAGCCTGGTCTTAAAGAGATCTATAGTCCAAACTCTTTCAGCGGGATGTCAGTACTTTATTTGTGTTAAAAACGACCTTTGGTTTCTGAAGTTAAAGAGATTATAAATACTGCATGTAATATGCACCGTGGTATTATGTTTACACTTCAGTCAACGTTGTATTAGACAACAACATTAGTGGTATCGTTGTGACGTATTTACGAATAAAGTAAACATCGGTTATAACGACTGACTGACTGAGTTTGGTTTTACGCCGCTTTTAGCAATATTCCAGCAACATCACGGCGGAGGACACCAGAAATGGGCTTCACACATTGTACCCGTGTGGGGATTCGAACCCGGGTCTTCGGCGTGACGAGCCAACGCTTTAACCATTAGGCTGCCCCACCGCCCCCGGTTATAACGAACTGAAAGGGAGCACTAAATACTATTCGTTGTAACCGCAGTAAGTTATATTTTAGTCGAAATGCGTATATACGCATCAATCGGGCAGAACCAAAAAAACGCAGTTCGTTACATCTGTTAGTTCGTAATAAACGTGTTCATTATAAACGTATTACTGTAACAACACTGTCAGTGATGTACGTTTTAACACATTTAAGAATACAATAAACTTCAGTTGTAACGAACTCAAAGGGGCCACTAAATATTATTCGTTATAACCGCATTAAGTTATACGCTTTTCGACTAAAATAGACACCAATCGGGCGGAACCAAAAAAACGCACTTCGTTACATCTGTTAGTTCGTAATAAACGTGTTCATTATAAACGTAGTTTACTGTAACAACACCGTCAGTGATGTACGTTTCAGCGTATTTAAGAATACAATAAACTTCGGTTGTAACGAACTCAAAGGGGCCACTAAAGTTACTTCGCTATAACCTTAATTCGTTGTACGCATTTCGACTTTGTTGATTAATCGCCACGTGGTCATGTGAGGCAACATACCACGCAAGTCATACGACTATGGTGTTGTAGTTGGAGACAACTTCTATCTAATGATGATGATGATGATGATGATGATGATGCATCTGTTTCCGCTACAGTATTGCTAAGCCATCTGTATTATTATAATATTCATCTCAAACCTCATGAAGCAAGAGAGAGAGAGAAGAGGTGGGGGAGGGTAGCCCGGTGGTTAAAGCGTTCGCTCCTCACGCTGAAGGCCAGGGTTCGATTCCCAACATGGGTACAATGTGTTAAGCCCATTTCTGGTGTCTCCCGCCGTGTTATTGCTGCAATATTGCAAATAACGGCGTAAAACATACTCACTCACTCACCCATTACTTACCTTGTTTTCTGTCGGTGGTATACTATATTCAAAAAGGTTTTGGAATATCTGTTTCGTATTCAGCTTCTGCATTATTCTAACAACTGTAATAATAATAAACAAGTAATAATAATATCCCTTCTGTTTTCAAAACACATGTCACGTAACAGCACTGTTTATATATGCCCTGATTTCAAGTTAGTTTACAGTAAGCATACGGTACAGTCTATGCAGCCTAAAGTTTACCGGAAAAATAATATATATTCATCTACGTTTCCTTGTCAGAGTACCATGTTTCCTCGCCGTACTAACTTACTGAATATATGTTAATATTAATGTATTTAGCAAAAGTACTGGATTCCCAAATAATTTAAATGTTAACAAATTCAGAAACAATTTATGCTCATATCTCCAAAAATGAGATTCCGCTATTTATCAATTCAGAGAAGGCGGTGGGGTAGCCTTGTGGTTAAAGCGTTCGCTCGTCAAGCTTAAGACCAGGGTTCGATTCCCCACATGGGTAAAATGTGTGAAAACAAATTGCTGGTGTCCCCGTCGTGATATTGCTGGAATATTGCGGCGTAAAACCATACTCACTCACTCACGCACGCACGGACGGACGCACGCACGCACGCACGCACTCACTCACTCACTTGCTGAGTGTTACGTTAAACAATAAAGCAACGTTGTACAGCATTGCGTTATTAAGGTGTGCGTGAATCCTGGCCTTAAAATCCCAGTTTCATCTTGACTTTGTTCCTTGTATTGTCAACACCATACAGATGCTATGGGTTTTTCCTCCCCTATCAAACACACGCCTTGATCTCAAAGCCGAGTTACAACAAGCACGCTCATTCACTCTGTCACGTGCTCACATGTAGATATATATCCAATATACGTAAACAGAGGATGGCGCTTATTTGATGGAATACAGCAGTTCAAATTTACGATGCACGCTATCAGAACGTGATAACACATAATCAGTTCCACTTCACAATCTTTCAGTAGAGTCGTCAGAGCATGTACTGGGTTCGAGTTTTATTAATCATTTTTTTAAAAATACTTAAATGTTATCGAAAATATTTTTTTCACATTCTGTACAGCTGCAAAAGAGGACGATGTGGATATCATAATGCAATAACTTAACGATCAAATTTTAAAAAAGCAACATAATGCATCACCAGTTCTTACCAGTCGACTGTGTACACTGTATTGAAGCATACGCAACATCTGTGACGCTGGTTCTTGTGGACGTTACAACGGCTGTATTCGGATAGAGGTCATCTCTGACGGTGTAAAATTCAAAATGGCCGCACAAAAGGTTATATGAAAAACCCATGGTGAACATCTGTGATTCTTTTCTGCAATCAATAAATATGATTTGGTATTTTTACAGAGGATAGTGCATTTTATTTTAAAAAGGGTCACACTTTATATTTCGACCATGATTTAACATTTTATTATTTTTACTGAACGTTATATTTCGGGTTAAGAGTGTCCGTTTATGTTTATTCGAACATTTCCGAAAGCAGAGTAATCTTTGCTTTGCTTTTAGTTTATGTGCATTAATGAAAAAGCTCTCATTTTAATTTCACTTGCTTGTCAGACACCATACTAGAATATTCAACGAAACAAGACTGCAGTGTTCTGTGCGGGATAAGGTGTCGACCCTTTCCTATTAGGGCAAGTTGTAAATACTGGCAACATATACCATTTAAAAAAATGAGGGGATATACTTCGCTATAACCGTAATTCGTTGTACGCATTTCGACTTTGTGTATTAATCGCCACGTGCAAGTCATACGACTACGGTGTTGTAGTTGGAGACAACATCTATCTAATGATGATGATGATGATGATGCCTCTGTCTCCGCTACAGTATTACTAAGCCATCTGTATTATTATTATATTCATCTCAAACCTCATGAAGCAAGAGAGAGAGAGAAGCGGTGGGGAAGGTAGCCCAGTGGTTAAAGCGTTCGCTCCTCACGCTGAAGGCCAGGGTTTGATTCCCAACATGGGTACAATGTGTTAAGCCCATTTCTGGTGTCCCCCGCCGGCTACAGTCAATGATACGAAAATCCGTATATTTCCCTGACGTTAAAGGGGCGGTGGGGTAGCCTAGTGGTTAAACCGTTGGCTCGTCACGCCGAAGACCCGGGTTCGATTCCCCACATGGGCACAATGTGTTAAGCCCATTTCTGGTGTCCCCCGCCGTGATATTGCTGGAATATTGCTAAAAGCGACGTAAAACTAAACTCCGTCATTCAGTCAGTCCTGACGTTAAATAATCAGGATTGTACTACCTCTTCCGTCATTACAAGTGGTAATTCTTGAAATGACCTGTCTTGGCCGGATTAGAAAGGTTTTTTGTGTAATACCACTGTTAACATAGTAAAAGGTATGACACCTTTATGAGAAAGGAATGACAAAGGACCTAAAACAAATTTCGTTATTTAGGAAAGACCAACACGGCATAGATCGAACAGAGTGACACTTGCGAGTTCCAGTTTTATTGTTTTTTTTTTTTAAGGCTTTATTAGACCTCTTGGACACTGGTTGTGTTGTTTTACGCTGCAATCATAAATTACACCATGTATGCATAGGCGGCTCCAGAGGGGGTCTGCAGGAGGCCCCCTTGTGCTGAAAGTTTGTTAAATGACCATTGAAACTCGGGTGAAAATTAAGTGTGCACCCCTCCTTTTCTCAATAGTGTGCATCCCCCACCCCCCTTTCTCAAAAAGCTGTATCCGCCCCTGCATGTACATATTAGTTTGTGCATTGTATGTTTAATGTTCCAGTGTTTCATGAATCCCAGATCATACAGATTTAGCATGTCTTATTTTTGGTGACACAAAGTTCTTGTGAGTGAGTTTAGTTTACGCCGCCTTTAGCAACTTCCCAGCAACATCAGGGCGGGGGACAAAAGAAATGGGTTTTATACATGTACCCATGTGGGGAATCGAACCCGGGTCTTTGGCGTGACGAGCGAACGCTTTAACCACTAGGCTACCCGACCGCCCCTCACAATGTTCTAATGTTTAACTGGTGACACTCATATGAACTCTATCTATGCTTGAAAAGCCAAACCGGTAGTATTTGTTCACAACACCCAAACTAATAAAACGACAAAAATACTCTCTGTCTTCAAGTCTAACTGTTTTTTTTAACTTTTTAATTGAAATTTAAAATGTGCAAATGTGTTTAATCCCACATGCATATTTTATTTGGCTATTATTTATTGATAAAATCATCCACAATATTTTACTATATATTTGTGTGTGAAAATTTATGAGTAACACTAAAATATTCGCTTCGTTGTTCGCTTTTTCGTTAGTTTGTTAGTACGTTCGCCGGTTAGAAACATGATCAACAACCGGCACTATCTTGCGAAGGCCTATTCGTAAGGCTGATTGAAATCCTATTACACACGGAAGAATCTTGCACAGATTTTAGGGATAATAGGGACTAATTTTAGCTGAAATAACTCAAACGTGTTACGAGCACATACTGCACCAACAATTTAATACAAATGTCAGTTACATTAAATTTTATAATAAAAATAATGAGTGTACAGAAGTAATATATGCACGTGTATTTTAAAAAAACTATTTTCCGTTAAATATAATTTTTAAATATTTGTTCATGTACTTACTAACGTCATTGAATTCTTCTTTGATCTGTGTCGAAACGACGCACCCACGAAATATAAGAAGTTGTTATGAATAGTTCAACATATGGTATATTTGAGATTACACTTTCTTAGTAAAGTACATACATTTTTTGTTGGGTTGAGTCCCATCCGGGATTCGAGTGTGTGGTTCGAATCCCGGATAGAACTCAACCCAACAAAAGTACTAGAATCTGTACTTTACTAAGAAAGTGTAACCCTAAATATGCATACATTGTATGGTACATTTGACCACTTTCTTAACTGCATTGTGTATTCAACCATAAAGTTTGTTCAATATTCATGTACCAACTAGCTATCAATATTTACAGTAAATACAGCTTAAACTTAATTACATGATTGTATGTTTATCTGTTTTGTGCGGTTTAGAACTAAGAATTAACCTAATACGTCGTTAATACGGGCAAAGCGGAGACCCTCAAACATATACAACGGTGATTAGCCCGCAAACAGGGGAAGCGACTATAACAGTGGCAAAGATTGAAACAGACTATAGCAGCGGCTATCCGAGCTCACCCGGGGTAAGTATACAGGTGTTTATTTCAGTAAGTGTTTCACATTCTTGTACAGTGTCTTACTAAAACACTGCTGACGTAGTCACATTTTTGTAATAATATGTCAGTGTCTGACAATCCACGGGGCTAAAATTGAAGTATTATTGTAATACGGCTAACAGCTGCAAACACTTCCTTGTTGGTATCGTAGACATGTTTTCATATATAACTTTCACAAACATTATTGTCGGGATATACATTTCATGTTTAGTGAACTGACATCATTAGGTTATTTTTCAGAGAAGGAAAAGGAAACACTGACATTTGGAAAAATGTGGGTTTTTTTAGTGACTGCTAAATATAGAGTCGAGATTAGATACCGGTTTATAGCCCGGATAATTGTGAGATGTGAGTTACCTCCCTTGAACAGGTGTTTATCGTTCAACATGTGTAATATCACGGACGATTTTAGGTGAAGTTTCAGGGAATATTAGTAGCAAATGCACGTGAAGGAAATATAATTTTATTATTTTCAAACCTATAGGTTAAGAAACTTCCGCGATCCTTTTCAGTGTGTCATTTCGCAAACAGTTGACTTTACTGCAACTTGCATCGTATTAACAACGGAATATTGCGTAAATACGAGGCTGTGTCTTTCGTCATCAATTCCCTCATTGTTTGAATAAGCAGCTCGTTGATGTCTTATTACATGGATATTTTGCCACAGTTCGAGGAAATACATTGATCGGACTGACCAAACAGATTTCAAATTACATGAAATTACATATATCGTGTTCGAAAAACCCGCATCACTACAAACGAATCTATTTTTTTTAAACCCGCCTGAGCTTTCATATGAAAAGGTATTTAGAATGCATTTACATACCATCTTGCTTTCATTTCACTGCATCAAAATTGTTTAATATACTTTCGATCAAATATGTTAAACATTCTCGATCACGTCTGTTAAATTATGTTATCGTCTATAGTTAACCCTCGTCCATGCGAGCAGAGTAATATGATGAGATTTAATTGATAACACTCGGCAATATGCTTAGAGCGATTATTGGTGACCCTTTAAATTTGTCAACAGTCAGCAAAAAAACATAACTCAACCACCCTCTTAATCATTACTTCCGGGTACATCGAACAATTAGCGACGAGTAATCTAGCAGTTTAACTGCGCATACATCTCTTAGTCCATGGGCTGATATAGGTGATCCTTCCCCTTCCCCCCCACCCCCACCCCTTTCCGGGGAATTTTAAAGACTATATTTCTTTTAAAGCTTATCATATGTAAATTCAAAGGGTCACCTATATCAGCCCATTGACTATCTCGTTTGAAAGGTTGACGCATTCCGCTGATAATTTGAAACCTCTGAATTCCTCACTTCTAACGAGGGGCGGTGGGGTAGCTAAGTGGTTAAAACGTTCGCTCGTCACGCTTAAGTCCAGGTTCGATTCCCTACATGGGTACAATGTGTGAAGCCGATTTCTGGTGTTCCCTGCTGTGATATTGCTGGAATACTGCGGCGTAAAACTGAACCCACTCGCTCACTCACTTCCTTCTAACGAACGCGTAAGAACCAGCGACTAGTTTAGTCAATGTAGTATTTTTTTAATTCATTGCTTGTCAATTTAGATTTGAAACGTCTAAGTTATATATTTGAAAAAAATTACACTTGCTCTGTTCTAAATATGGGGTGACGAGTTTAATTATGACATCCTCCCCAGTTTTTGTCTCTGGGACCAAAACTTTCCGGTTTCTTGTTGATTGGTTGGTCAACAAGGCTTACACATCGTGACGAGTTCACAATTAATGTCACGGAGCCCGGTAAACCAGGTCAGTATTATCTTTCGACACCAAGTCACTTAATTTGTTGGTTAAACTGGTCAAGACACGCCAAAGCTGGATCCAGTGGCCAGGTTCGTTGACAAGGTTCTTTACATGTCACCGTACCATGGCGGCGAGGGTGCTCATTATATCGACACTGGTTTGTTATATTCGGATTTGAACCCGTGAAGATCTGGGTTAGAATTGGTCTTCAGTAACCAATGCTTGTTGTAAGAGGCGACTAACGGGATCGGGTGGTCAGGCTCGCTGACTTGGTTGACAAATGTCAGCGTAACCCAAATACGTAGATCGTGCTCATGATGTCAATCACTGGATTGTCATATCCAGACTCGATTATTTACAGACCGCCGCCATATAGTTGGAATATTGCTTAATGCGGCGTTAAACACCAAACACAATATTCAGATTTCTTTATTTTTACAAACCCCTTGACGTTGTTGAATATAGCTAAATATGGCCCAAATTAACATTCATTCGCTCAACCTAATTCTTGAATGTTTCGTTCCAGCTTTGTGGTGGCTATGTGCACTCATGCTATAGTGAAGTCAAGGGGATCGTGATTTAGCGTAACCATAACGAGACTTACATGCTTACAAACCAACAGTACAACATGTCAGAAGAAAGGTCTCGAGGAGAAAGGTTTCTTTTAAGAGCTAAATCCTCACTACCAATTCTCAAAGGATCCTGGAAATCCTTGAACAAGCACATTGCCAAGGGAGACAGGGCCGCCGTTGAGAAATGGTTCTTCAAAAGACCTTATGCAACATCAAAGATAAAGAATATTCCCCGATCGGTGGTCAGCCCAATTTGTGTAGCAGCAGAAAGTGGCGACAAGGGCGTATTTGAACTTCTCCTCGAGAAAGGATTCTCTCCCTTCGAAGAAGACCGTAGAAAGGACGAGATTGACACGAAGCCTCGTCGCGGACCCTTTCATCTGGCTGCTCATAGAGGTCACCTTGACCTTGTCCGGGAGCTGTTGGAAGTTCACATGGTCGAGGTCAACTCCTACGGAGGAGGAAACACGGGTCTTCAGTGGGCAATTCTTGGTAGACATCACGAAATAGTGGAGTATCTGCTTACCAAAGGAGGTGATCCCAACATCGGGGACCAGATGGAGAAAGACATTTTGTCTGTGATGAAAGGATCACCAAATTACCATTACTGGTACGAGGAGTGCTACCCTCTAGGCAAGACCTTCAACAGGGGACTTAAGGACCTGGCTCGGACTTTGATTGATGCAGGGGCTGATATCAATAAAATTCGGATATCTGGAGAAACGATGATATCAAATTTTGTGTCCGATGTAGGCGATCGTGACATCGTCCAAATGGTGTTTGAGAAGGGTGCGTACGCACCGGTACGGGACCTGTATGAATATCTTTGTCGGGCTGATTTTGAAAAACACGCAGATCTGATTGTACCCGTGTGGCAGTTCCTGCTGGACATGAACATATCGGTCCACCATTTGACCAGTGTACCTCCAGATTACTCGGTTCCTTATAAACATGATCCTACAAAACCGAATCTTCTGGAGCTGATGTCAAGCGATGCCCTGTTTACGGAAGACGTTACACTAGCTGAAATCGTTGTTGGCTCCAGTTCTGATGGTGAGCGGGATTGGTCATTTAAAGGGTTCAAGTGGTTGTATAAAATATGTGAAAACTTTACTAAAAAGCCCAATATTGGAGTGTGTTCCTTGAAGTATCTATGCTGTCTGAGTGTCCGTAAATACATGGGCATTGTCACAGTCGGGAGAGTGGATGGTCTTCCCTTAGATGTGAATTTGAAACGTTTGATTCGTCTGAATCCAGCCAATGGTACCAGTTAGGATAAACTTGTGTTTCAATTGACTTGTGGTGTTTTTGGTGCGTGGAGATGTTGATTTGAGGCAAAGTTTTTGTTTTTAGATCTGGAATTGAGCAATAAAATCAAGCTGATCTTTACCAGGAACAGTATTCAATATCAGTATATAAAGGAATTGAAAGGATATGAACTTTCCAAAATGGTGACAAAAATTGAAAGGCGTGCCACAGATTTGTCACCTTTTGGACTATCGATCGTGGGAACGCATGTACAGTAAAAACGGCAAGAGATGTTCTCCATGATTCGTTGACATGAGAACCAACTTAATGGTCAAGTGGATACAGTGTTTGCCTCGAGAGCTGAATGACGGCGGTTCGATCCCCAAACCGCAAATACCAAAAGACATTAGAAGGCCTGTCGCTCGAGAGCAAAGGGAGACAACCAGGACTGATGTCTGTGTAATGTGTTTGTATTGGGTGCCCAAGTAAAGTTTGTGCATGCACTCAGCTATAGTAGTTAATAATCATGGACGTTAAAACACATTTGGCGTCGTTTCATCGTTAAACAGGACGATTCCACTGTCAGCGGAGCTATGTTGTTGAACGGGGTTTTGTTTTAACAGTTGTTTCAATACTTTTTCTCATACTAACCACAGTGGAACTGTTTACTTGTTAGTGAAGTTTTAGCCATGCGTTCAAGTTTCACATATTATTTACAAATGTTATGTACATACACCTTTTACTGAATAGACACTACATTCCGGAATTGTTGGTTGTGATGTTGTTGTTGGTAGATATCAGTTTCAGGTAACGCGAATATGATGTCCCACGTGAAAACTTTTTAATGCCAGTATTGAATCGTTTATTCCAAACGCCTGTACTAAAGTCATTCATTACCCCAGGGGCGATGGGGTAGTCTAGTGGTTAAAGCGTTGGCTCGTCACGCCGAAGACCCGGGTTCGAATCCCCACATGGGTACAATGAGTGAAGCCCATTTCTGGTGTCCCCTGCCGTGATATTGCTGGAATATTGCTAAAAGCGGCGTAAAACCAAACTCAGTCAGTCAGTCAGTCATTACCCAGTGGCAAGACGTAACTTCACCCATTTTAAATAACAGAAGCAATATGGCATTTATGACAGAAAACAGCAAATGCTTAAAGGTGAGGAATGGTGGATTGTCCGTCCGAAGTGATTTCAATTTTGAATATACAATGCCTTTCAGAAAGTGTACAAATGTAACAGGTTATATTTTGGGTTACACTTTCTCAGTAAAGTACAGATTCCAGTACTTTTGGGGATGGGTCCCATCCGGGATTCAAACCCACACTCTCAGTTAGCGACCTAATCCGCTCAGCTAGTGCGGCTTCCATTCGTGACCAGCTCGTGTTATTCCGCGACAAGCCGACTACAGACTCGTGCCCCAAGGGAAGGTTTTCATATTGGCGCATGAACATCAGAGCTACTGTCAACAAGAACGATAACTCTATTTCTGTTTGATTCCAATGGTACTTAATATCACTTAAACACTCGTACATTCTATTGTTGTTTGTTGTTGATTTTATTTATATATTTCAAAGAACTAAACCTCTTTGGTACAAGTAAAGGATGGCGAGAAAATGTATTTGTTATACATATTCTAACGTAATTATTACCAGCTGTTCATATTATATTTCCAAATGTATATTTTTAATAGGGTTTAAGAATCACATGATTTGTTTTATTAGATATACAAATAAAATACTCCTTTTTTTTTGTTACAATAAATTCCAAGCAGATACGTAAAAAGTACTTTAAAATATTTCTCAAACTGAATATTCGTGTAACCTTGGAGCCGTACCCCTGATGGAAGTTTATAAAGAATAGTCTAAAAACAGTAATGAATGACCCCACAAAAATCAGACTTAAATATCCCCAGAGATGTTAAACATAAGTCCATTGTTAAAGATTATAATTAGTTATATATTGAGGTAATATTATTGTTTTAAAACTCGTGGCTATTCATAATTATATTTCCTAAAGACGTTAGAAGCGCACGTACTATCTCCAAACCAAGCCTGCAAGATCGTCTTAAATACACTCAATTGGACCCATGAGAGCCGTTATGTAAACAAACGCACGTGCGTGTATTTGAATCTCTCACCTTCTATGGCATTATCCATACTAAAAACTACACGAGGCAACACAGTTCTGTTAGCTACGTTCTTTGTACTTTCAATATATTTATATATATTTTTCATGATTTTTTAAACAAATACATAATGCCATAACCGATTTAAGTACTCGGGATTATTTTTATCAAAGCACCGCAATCATTACGCGCGTTCTGATCGTGTTGTCATATTTTCACACATAACATGCATCGAAACGGGGACGAGTCTTCTTGGAGGTTACGGAAAGGGGCGAGTGGTGACGAATCTGTGACGAAAAATGGAAGTCGGGCAATTCGTAGTGTAGACCACGGATTTTATGTACGTCTCTTACAAGTGTAAATTGGCACGGCACCCACAGGCGAAAGCTATGAATAGACAGTGCCAATTAGATTGCTAGGCGCAATGGTCTTCTTGTTTCGTTTATACTTACAAATAAAAAAATAGCCTGATAAAAAGGCAACGTTGGAGGCGCCTGAGTAAAGGCGTTCGTTTTCACCCGATTCCACGAGAGTTTTAGTGGTCATTTAATAAACTTTCAGTACACAAAAAATAAGAGGGGCGCGGGGGTTATATGTCAATTCATGTCAAAGGTCTTTGTCATGTCTCCCCATGTCTTAGCAAAGATACGTAGCGCTCACATACACGAACGCTATGAAGCATCTCTATAGGCCTAGCTAAGATACGTAGCGCTCACATACACGAACGCTATGACGCATCTCTATAGGCCTAGCTAAGATACGTAGCGCTCACATACACGAACGCTATGACGCATCTCTATAGGCCTAGCTAAGATACGTAGCGCTCACATACACGAACGCTATAACGCATCTCTATAGGCCTAGCTAAGAAACGTAGCGCTCACATACACGAATGCTATGAAGCATCGCTATAGGCCGCCGCAATGAAGGATATCCTTTGTCGCACTTTCGCGCACCCGTTACGATTATTGCGCACGAAAAACTTATACGAATGACTTCTTTGTACTTATACCTACAAGTGCACCATATTTCCGTTATCAGAATATCCAGAAGTTAATATTTGCAAGCCATCAAACATCTCAGTCGATCACTCGCATGTCAGCGAGTCATATTGAATCACGTGACGGGTTTCCCCCCATAAATTAGTAACACGCGTGTATGAAAACCTAATGTTTACTACTAAAATGGATTTTCCGATTCTGCAATTCGGAAACATGCGCGGAACTCGTACAAGTGTGCTCTATTACGTGTACAATGTTTTTTAATTGAAAGTGTCAGTTTATCAACGTTTTTCATCAGTAAAAAAAAACAGAATGTGTTTAAATTAGACATTTACAGAAAACTCGATTTACGCATTAAAGCGAGACAATTATTTCGAATTACCCACCTGGTCACATGGCTCCTGATTTGCTACAGTTCATTTGGAATTGCCAAAATACAAAGAGACTAAGTATCATCGGCTGAAAGTTATTTTTAATATTCCAAGTGCATATATATAGAGAGGAAGTTCACCTGAGAGAATATTCAGCCTGATTATAAGGTTGGGGCGTTTGCTCCTCCAACCAATAATTGACGTGGTACTGATAATTGATGTGGCACACGATTATTTTTTTTAGTTTGTTACTCATCGTCAAATATAAATACAAGAAGAAACAATTCTGACATTCACCCTTTATATGAGGGCCCAAGACACAATTTTGCCCAACACGTATGGGGAATCCTGATGGTTAAAGCGTTCGGTCGTCACGCTGAAGGCACGGGTTCGATTCCCCACATGGGTACAATGTGCGAAGCCCATTTCTGGTGTCCCCGCCGTGATATTGCTGGAGCATTGCTATAAGCGGCGTAAAACCATACATACTCACTCACTCCTACACGAATGAAACGGCACGTAATCCTTGTATTTCACTGAAGCACAATCCAACTACATAATGATTTCACAATAGTCAAATAGTTAAGTCGAAACGCACCTATCTGGGAACATGGAAAAATAATTCCAAAATTAAGCAAGCATTGTGATTAATTTTGTTTTCATTTATTATCAATATCAAATATTCAAATGTATATGAGATAGGATATAGTCGTGGCATTTACAAGCCAGTTTAGCCGTCGTCTAGGTTTAGGTCATACAGAGTGGAACTGCTGAAAACCTAACGACTTCTACAACGTCAAAAAATTATTCTAAAACAAGTGAAGGTTACGTAACGAACATACCCGTCAAAAACCGTTAGAAATGGACTTCAGGAACCCATGCTTGTCGTAATAACAGGATCGGGTGCTCAGACTCATTGACTTGCAATTGGTTGACACATGTCATCGTATCCCTATTGCGTAGATCGATGATCATGGGGTTGATCACTGGATTGTCTGGACCAGACTCGATTATTTACAGACCGCCCCCACATATAGCTGGAATATTGCTGAGTGCGGCGTAAAACAACAAACAAAATAACAACAAAAATGCTTAACGAACATTTTAATGTTTACAATTGTTTTTAAACAACAGTGAATGTCAAATATAAACGTTAGGAGTTCCTCTTATTGAGCACGGAGTTACGGAACAAACTGCCAGTGTATGTTCACACATGCATGAAGGACAAAAAATCAAAAGGCCACTACGGTAGTGTACTCTTATTCTGAATCGGATGTTGTCTCCAGGATACATCGCCCTTTCTTCAACAGCAAATGTTTATTCTTAATACGTTGCCGTAAATTGAACCGTATCTGCATTTGTGCCTTGTAAATTTAATGACATAACCACGTCTTGTCGTGGTACTACGCCACGTTCGAGTTAATTAAGAGCGGCAGAGCAGAGGGCGTTCATGTATATAGCCTATCAACCACAGGGGCTCGAATCACTGTTTGGCCAATAACTTTAAAAAATAAAAATCTAGATTTGTGCAACCGTATATTGTTTTAATATGTTATGAGTAACCTTTATTTCAAATTTGAACGAAATCGGCGAAGAAATGGATTTTTTTTAAATTCTCCCGCTACACTCATTACATAAAATACACACTGTAATGAGTGTAGCGGGAGAATTTTTAAAAAAATCCATTTCTTCACCGATTTATTTCAAATTTGAAATCTAGGTTACTCATAACATATTAACACAATATACGGTTGCAAAAATCGAGATTATTGGGCAAAAAGGGATTCGAACCCATGCGCTGTCAACTGCCTGAACAGGCTCACTCGGTGCCATGGAACTACTAGTGTTTGATTTGCCGGGTTGTCCTTATTCGTTCGATTTTATCGGGGATAGGGATGTAGCAATGTATGTTTACGTTTCCCGTACCAGTTCCTGTAGATAGTGACCGCCTCCGTGGTGTAGTGGTTAGAGCGTCCGCCCGGAGAGCGGAAGGTCGCGGGTTCCATCCCCGACTGTTTACGACACGTGCTGTTAAATATTTATCATATGTCGATGATCAACTGAACAATTTCGGACCGCCTCCGTGGTGTAGTGGTTAGAGCGTCCGCCCGGAGCGCGGAAGGTCGCGGGTTCGATCCCCGGCAGCGTCAAACCAAAAGACGTTAAAATATGGTACTTGTTGGTCCCTGCCTGGCGCTCGGCATTAATGGGTACAACAAGGACTGGTCGGCTCGGAGTCAGTATAATGTGTCTGAGTGGGGTATTCATGCT